TGGCCCGGGAATGGCGTTCTGGGATGTCGAAGAGCACGAAGTGGCCTACAGTTGCATCCGGCCCCCCAGAATGTGGCCTGGGAATGGAGTTCTGGGAAGGCGAAGAGCACGAAGTGTGTGACTGTTGGTAAAAAACGAGCCCGGCTCATGCCGCCCGGAAACGCCCCAACACCTGCCCGGACCCCCCTGTGGAGTGATCTGCTGCTCTCTTTTGATCCCACTAGAAACCTATCAGTCTTCGCTGTTAGGTAACATGAATCCCAACAGATTCCCCAATAGCCAAAAACGAGGGGGAAACATCGTCCCCTGACTTTTTGTTCGGCTGCTCTTGAGTATTCCTCCCTGTAGAGGGACAGGCCCGACTTCAGCCTATCCCCCTGACGTTGCCCCTGAAGCCTTCCCCCCTCTGCGGGCCCCGTGGAGCCGCATCGGCACCGGCAGCGCTTCGGATCGAGTCCGAAGGGCAGGTGCTTTCGAGGCCTCCCAGATGGCGTCCGAGCAGATTCAGGTCGGGCGTGTCCCCCATACAGGGGGATTCTGGACGAAAAATAAAAAATACCTAAAATATATACCAACATGGTCAAACAAATACTATAAAAAATAGTCCCCAGACTATTTATAAACAATTTTTGAATATTCCTCCTGTAGAAGGACGGGCCCGACTTAAGAATACATGGGGTCATAGGATCGCGCCGCAGTGCCGATGCATCGCCGATGCATCGGCGATGCATCGGGGACGTCGGCGACGCATCGGCGCCGCCGGAGTGACGCACATCCGGCTAAACATCGAGCCGCATCGCCGATGCATCGGCGATGCGATGCGGCGCATTCCTCCAACTCCTCTTCCTCCTCCTCCTCCTCCTCCTCCTCCTCCTCCTCGTCCTTGGGTGGAGGGAACAGAGAGGCTCTGCCCAACTTCGACCTCTCCGCCATCGGGTGCTGCCAAGAGTGCCCCCGAACCGAGGCTGGGCTCGCCCTCCACGGCCCTGCCCTCTCTTTCCGACCCCCCTTCCCTGGAGGGTCTCCAGACGCCTCGGGAGTTCACCACTCTTCTCCACAGGTCCCCCGGGGCCTTCTGGGGAGGGGTGATAGTGCTAGCAACGCCCGAACATCTCGATCGTCGTCGTCGTCGTCGTCGTCGTCGTCGTCGTCCTCCTCCTCCTCCTGAATGAGTCGGGCAACAATCGCCCCCCGTCCTCCTTCTCTCCCGCCTACCTCCTCCCCCTCTTCCCTCCCCCCTCCCTCCTGCCCTCGTTCCTCCTCCCGCCTGCTCTGTCTCCTGCTTCCGCCCTTTCTCCTTCTCTGTCGCTCTTTTCCTCTGTCTCCTCTGTCTCCTCTGTCTCCTCCTCCTCCTCCTCCTCTGTCTCCTCCTCCTCCTCCTCCTCCTCCTCCTCCTCATCAGCATCAGCATCAGCATCATCACCATGATAATCATAATCGCCATCATCATCAGCATCATCAGCAGCATCAGCACCAGCATCAGTATCAGCATCAGCCTTAGCATCATCATCATCATCATCAGCATCATCAGCATCATCATCAGCATCATCAGCATCATCATCATCATCAGTATCCTCCTCCTCCTCCTCCCCCTCCTCCTCATCATCATCATTGTCAACCCTCCTTCCTGTTTCTCCTAAAACCTCCTCCTGGTTTGTCCTCGTCCTCGTACAGATCCCCCTTCCATCCTAGTCATCCCTCCTCGATGCTTTTTCTCTGCTGCACCTCCTCCACCCTTCTTGTCTGTGTCGTCCTGTCCCTCCAAATCCTATTCATTCCCTCCGTCCGTCCCACCTTTCCCTTCCACCTCAACTCTCCATGTCGTCCTCCCCGCCTCCTGCGGAGGAAGAAGAGGACGAGGAGGAAGAGGAGGAGGAGGAGGAGGAAAAGGAGGACGACGACGACCAAAATCAATTCACATCTGTCGCCGGAACCCTCCCAGCGTCCATCCTGGCATTTTTACAATCGTGTCCGGCCCGTGCAAGATCTTCCGAAACACCTCCGAACACAAACAGCGACGGAGACGACGACGGCGGTGACGGCGAAGACGACGTGTCCCAAACCTCACCTGGGAGGCGCTCTGACCAGAATCTTCTGGCAAATCCACCGTGGCAACGAGAGGCACCCTGGAGGCCCAACCAGGTCGGGGCGGACGATTAGGGGGGGGGGGGGGATTAAATGAAGGGGCCCAGGGACACACACACACACACTAATACACACAAATCCCAAGATTCCCTATAGCTTGTTTTGGATTTTCGTCGTCCCCCCACTTACAATGGTCCCCCACATGTTCCGGGGGTTGACGATTCATTGTGCCTGTGTGCCGTGTCGCCCCCTGAGCAAAGGAAGGATTTCCAAGCGCCTCGCGCCGCCAAGGAGTGACCGCGCATCGACACAAGCGCCCGGAGGCGGGGCAGAGACCAGCCGCACGCCGCCGATCTCGTATCGTCGCCTTCCATATCTCACCAACGCTCTGGGCGTACGTAGGTGGTTTCATGAAGTGCATCTCCTCCCCGCCAAAGCTAACTCCTCCCCCTGCTCGGGGGAAGGGTTTGTCCCTTTCCCATACCCCCCTTTCCCCTGGGCCTGCGAGGGGGGGGACGGGTAGTTAGAGCGTCCAAGATGGCCCAAGATGGCTCGAAGAAGGCCTCAGACAGCTCAAGATGGCCTCCAAGATGGCTCGAAAGATCTCAAGGTGGATCAAGACAGCCTCCGACGCACATCCAAGAGCCGTCAAGACGGCCCCAGGACGGTTTCAAGTGCCCTCCGAGCCCTCCGATGCCCCCCCCCCCAAAGGGGCCAAAACTTTCGATGGGCTCTTGGGACCTTAATTAAGATGGCCTCAGGACGACCCACGCGAGCCCCAAGAGGCCCCAGAGAGCCCCAAGATGGCCCCAAGAGCACCCAAGAGCGACCCAAAAGCGCCCAACAATGCCTCAAGAAATCATGTTTGAGACTCCGAATTGGGGCCTGAATTCATCACCCCCTTCTTTTTGAGCCATGGGGCCAAAGACGGCCTCAGGAGGCCTCCCCGCCCCCCCCGAAGCGCCCCACGAAGGCCCCAACAGGGCCCGCGAGGACTCTCAGCGAGCCCCAAGGCGACTCCAAGAGACCTAAAAAAACGCTTCCAATGAGGTTTTGGCACTGCATGTTTCTACACTGCCCTGATCAGGGCAGCACGCCTGGCCATGAGTTCTGGATGGGCTTGTGGGGATATCTGTTTGATCGCAGGAGGCGAGCCTCGCTGCCGCTCAAAGGAGGGCGCGCACCAGGAGGATCTTCCAGGCGAAGTGCAACACCCAAATGGCAGAATTCGAGTTGACCGACACGCACACGCCAAGGAGGGACACCAGCAGAACGCACAGCGAGCCCAGGGACAATTCAAGGTACCGCGGATGCGAGTGACAGCTATGTCGCGCGCCTCGGTGGATGTCGACCAACGCCATGTGGGCGCTCAACGGAGCAAGTTCGGATCGCCAAACACCGTCGAGACAGGTGTCGGAGGGTGCCGTCAGGGTGGGTGCGAGCAACACGCGCCACCAGGACGGGTAGGGGGCCCAGCATGAGGACCGACAGGGATGAGCCTGCGCGGTGGGGGAGGGCCGGGAATCCGTCGACCCCGTGCGGGGAGGGAGGCCGTGGGCCCACGAAGAAGGGTCGGCAGACAGACAGAGAGGCAGCAGGGGACAGGCGGACGACAGATAGTCACGGTCCGCGCCGGCCACCATGGGGGAGGCCGGGCGGCACCTTGAGCAGGGCAAGAGCCGCCGGGCAGGGTGTTATTTGTTTTTTTTCTTCCGCGCGCGCGCGCGCCGCACAGCCGTCCTGAAGTCACGCTACAAGCCAAGAAGCTCTGATGATGCGGAAGGGACGAAAACGTATAGAAAATTGCGCCGCTCGGCGCACTCACAGTGACCCGCTGCGCTGCACATCGGCTCTCGCCCGTTCGCGGGTCACGTGGTCGCCTCCGCCGCAGGTGGGCAATATACGACCAGAACGCACGACGCAGACCATGCAAGCGCGCAAAGCCATTTCTGTCTTGGGGGCGGGAAGGGACTGGGCTAGCCAAGAGGAGGAGGAGGAGGAGGAGGAGGAGGAGAAGGAGGAGGAGGAGGAGAAGGAGGGAGGAGGAGGAGGAGGAGGAGGCGGAGGAGGAGGCGGAGGAAAAGGAGGAGGAGGAGGAGGAGGAGGAGGAAGAGCCGAGCATCCCCTGCCGGGACGGCTCCCGCGCCGACGCTGAGGGCATGGAACAGTGGGCCGCGGCCACTGCGCAGCGGGCCGCGAGGAGGTCCCCGGGGCACCGCGGCAGCTCAGCTCAGGCGGTCTGCTCCGTCGCCTCCGCCGTCTTCTCGGCCGCCTTGGCGGCGAGCGCCTTGGCCTTCTCCTCCAGCCGCTCGGCGAGCTTCTTCTTCTCTCGGATCTCCACCTCGCGCATCATCTCCTCCGCCTGCCTCAACTTGGCGGTGTTCTTCTTGTACGTCTCCAGGTCGCTCATGGGCTTAGCGGCGGAGACCTTGAGCGCCTTGGCCCACTCTCCAACGTTGTCGCTCGTTGCCTGGACCCCGCTGTACTCCATCATCTTGAAGAGGCCAACGCTGAAAGGCTGGCTGTAGAGGCCAGTCGAGATGCCAGACAAGGCGTCCACAACCCTCTGGTCGGCCGAGGCGGCGGACCCCTCCATGGCCTGCAGGATCTCTGCCGGGGAAGCGCCCTTTGCCCACTGCATCACGGCCTCGGCGTCGGCCTTGACCTTCTCGGGGTCCAGGCCGCATGACTTCATGAAGGCTGGCCAAATCTTGTCCGCCTCCGCGCTGCCGCCGAGCCTGTCGTAGTTGGACATCATGCCGTTGTAGGTCTCCCGGGCGCCAAGTGCGAAGATGGCGTCGTACTTGAACCTCGAGTCCACGACTGCCAGGTGAACCTGCTTCAGCAGGTCCACAAGGAAGGTGCGATACATCGGCAGCACCGGCGGCTGCGGGTAGCGCTTGTGGAAATCGGCCATGGTGTCGGAGACCGTCTTCACCGTGTTCGTGACCTCGAGCGTCGCGCCCGCGCCGCGCGCGGCGAGGGCCGCCCTGCCCGGCCGCGCCGCCGGCGAAGCAGCAAAGCCCGGCGCCTGCAGCACGCGCGAGGCGATCGCGGCGGCGAGGGGGCCGGCCGCGCACGCGCGGCGGCGCCTCGGCGGCCCGAGCGCGGCGCGCGCGGCGCGCGCGGCGCGCCTCGGCGACCCGCAGGGCCGGGCGGGCCCTCTGCGCGGAGGCTGGCGGGGGGCGATCCCGCAGCAGCGGTGGTCTGCCCGGGAGGGCAGGGGGGGGGCCTGGAGGGGCGGCTGCTCGGGGCCGCCTTGAGCCAAGGTGGCTCATTGCGGAGGCTTGTGGGGATGCGCGGAGCGTCAAGAGTTTCCTGCCATCGTCGGACCCGACAACGGTGAACAACCATCCTCGAAACTCGAACCTCGGCGACGACGACGACGACGAGATGAAACACCCTCAGGGTATCTCGGGCGGCACTTGGCAGAAGAGGTGTGAAATCCGAATCTGACGAGGGAAGGTCGGAGCGAGCAAATACGAACGGCGGGTTCGTGCCAGGACGACCCTGCCGTTTCGGTTTCTGACACCGCATGGATCGTCCAACCTTCAACCATTCCCCGGGACCGGTTTTCCATCCCGAGTCGTTGCCAAGGGCAGGTAAGGGCCCCTGGAGGCCGAAAATCCGGAAAAAAACACCCATCCTGATTTTTGTCATTACCCGAGGGGGTCTGGGGACGGGCGCGCAGCCAGCAGATCCTCCTCCTCCTCCTCCTCCTCCTCCTCCTCCTCCTCCTCCTCCTCCTCCTCCTCTACAATTACTCAATATAAATACTACTCCTCCCTCTTCCCCCTGATGACGTCTTTTGCGTATTCGCCCCCCTCCCCCCCCCCCCGCGTACTGTTTTTTTACACACAGGATTCCCGGGAGTTGGGTTTTCGCCTGCGTTTTTTTCAAAATGCTGCTCTCGCTGAGGCGCCGGCCTCATTTCTGCTCCCGAATCGTTCCGAATCGTGCTCCCGCTGCAGCGTGGGCCTCATTTTCGGATCGGTGTTTTGCCTCCGTCGTTCAGGATGGCGTTCTCGCCCCAGCGCGGGCCTCTTTCTCGCGCGCCCATCCGCCCGCCACCACCGCGCCGCACCACGCCCGCCCCGCCGCACGCACACCCACCGCCACTTCCACCCACCAACGCACGCACGCACGCACGCGCACCACCACCGCGCCACCGCCACCACCACCGCACTACCACCACCACCACCACCACCACGCACTACACACGCACGCTCACCACCACATCACACGCGCGCAGCACACCAGACACACACGACACACACACACACACACACACACACACACACACACGCACACGCACACGCACACGCACACGCACACGCACACACACACACACAACACAACACAACACAACACAACACAACACAACACAACACAACACAACACAACACAACACAACACAACACAACACAACACAACACAACACAACACAACACAACACAACATACACACACGCACGCACGCACACACACAGACACACCACCACCGCCACCACCACTACCGCCATCACGCACGTACGCACCTGGCCCACCACCAAACCACCAAGACGCCACACCACGTCACACCACAGCACACGCGCACACACGCAAACACACACACACACACACGCACACACACACACACAGATACACACCACCACCACAACAACCAAAACCACGCACACACGCACGCACGCACGCGCACCACCACCCACTACGCACACGCGCACGGAGCCACAGGTCCGCTACGACACGCGTCCGTGGATTGAGGAAATCAGCGCCATGGTAAGGCATGGGAGGGAGGGGTGGGATGTCAGATGTTGACGCGAGCGCACCTAACTTGTCCCCCTGCCCCTCCCCCCCTCCCCCTCCCCTCCCCCTGCCCCCTCCTCCTCTCCTCCTCCTACTCCTCCTCCTCCTCCTCCTCCGCCTGGCGCCTCCTCCTCCACCTCCTCCTCCTCCTCCTCCTCCACTCCTCCTCCTCCTCCTCCCCCTCCCCCTCCCCCTCCTCCTCCCTCCTCCTCCTGCTCCTGCTTCTCCTCCTCTCCTCCTCCTCCTCCTCCTCCTCCTCCTCCTCCCTCCTCCCCCTCCTCCCCCTCCGCCCTCCTCCTCCTCCTCCTCCTCCTCCTCCTCCTCCTCCTCCTCCTCCACCTCCTCTCCCTCTCCCTCCCCTCTCCATCCTCCTCCCTCCGGATCCTTCGCCAGCGCCGAGCCCACGCGCATCTCCAGCAACCACGGGCCCCTGCTTTCGAGGGCAGCGGCGACCGCGTCTTCCGGCGCCCGCTCGCCTCGGGTCGTTCGTCGTCGCCGCCGCCGCCAGTGCCCTGGGCGTCTCGCAGGGGCGCGGGCGAGGGCCAGCGAGAGCGAGGCGCCAAGTCGAGCAAGCCCCGGTGGGCTGGTTTTCCAACTTCACCGCCATGCGTGGGAGCGGGGGGGGGTCCTCCTCCTCCTCCTCCTCCCTCCTCCTCCTCCTCCTCCTCCCTCCTCCTCCTCCACCTCCGTCTTTCTCCTCCTCCTCCTCCTCCTTCTCCTCCCCCTCCTCCTCCTCACCTCTTCTTCCTTCTCCTTATCCTCCTCCTCCTCCTCCTCCTCCTCCTCCTCCTCCTCCTCCGCCTCCTCCTCCTCCTCCTCCTCCTCCTCCTCCTCCTCCTCCTCCTTCCCCCCTCCATCTCATGGCGGTGGTGGTGGTGGGAAGGCAGGCCTGTCGAGCCCCGACGAACGCGCCCGTGCCCCAGTTGGGCAAAAGGCGTGGGAGAGGCAGAAGTCTTCGACGAGCGAAGCCGATTCAGAAGATCACGCCCTGCAGCTCCTCCTCCTCCTCCTCTCCTCCTCCTCCACTCCTCCTCCTCCTCCTCCTCCTCCTCCTCCTCCTCCTCCCCTCCCCCTCCCCTCCCCGTCCTCCTCCTCCTCCTGCTTCTGCTTCTCCTTCTCCTCCTCCTCCTCCTCCTTCTCCTTGTCGTCGTCGTCGTCGTCGCCGTCACAACACAGGCCCCCCGTGCGGGGGGCGCGACGGAGCGGCCGGCGCCGGAGCGGTCGCCCTCCTCGAATGGGGGCGGCGCAGGAGCGCGAAGACAGTCGCGCACCGCGGACCCGGGACCACGGCGGCTCTCCCGCCTGGCGTCCCATCCGTTCCAGATTTGAGTATCCGTTAACCGACCCCCATCCCCAGCGGCGTGGCCTGGGCCCCACCGGCCGATTTGCACCCCTAGATGGGGAGATGGGCCGCTCCCTTCGGGTTTCGAGGAGTTTATCCCCAACTGAGGGGTACTTACTTTGGTGGAAGCCTCGAAGGGGATAGGGGATGGGGACGGGGATCGGATCAACGGCACCGGATACTGGTCCCTGACCCCTCCTGGCCGGTGTCCATCCTGACCCGTGGACCCGAAACCCGGAATGTCGCCAGGGAGGGCCGCCGTCGTCTCGACGGGCCCTCCGCCGACGTGAAGAGTCGGGAGCGGCCAGGAGGGGGGTGTCCAAGAGGGGGGGGGGTGCACATCATGACCAGCGGCACGTGCGCGGCCCAGCGGGGGGGCCAGGGACGTAATGAAACAAGAAGAGGCGCCATGAGATCTGGGGGAATATCATGGCCCACGCCATGATATCCATCCCCCCCTGGTCATCACCCCCCTCCTGCACGCCCCCGAAAGAGGAGGGGCGAGGAGCAGCAGGACAGGGAGGCGGGCACGGGCGGGCGAGCCAGCGCGGCGCCATCGCAGGGTGCCGTGGGGCCCGGGGGGGCACGCCGGAAGGGGGTCGACGAGGCCAGGCGGCAGCACGCGGAGCTCCAGTTCGGCCATGTGGAGGGGGAGAGGTACAGTCGGGGCGTTGACCTGAGGAACCCCAAATAAGGAGCGGGGCCCCTTTCTCCCATAAGTTGAACTTCGATTTCCCATGGGAAACCTCAAGAAAACAGAAGGCAAGCTGTCGAACAATCAAGGAACACCGAGCCCCTCCCCAACGAAAAAGGTTCCTTCTCCAGGGCCCCGGCTGGAGGGGAACAAAAAGTGGCATAAACATAAAAGCTCGGAGGTCCGCCGGAGGCAGACCGCCGGAAGTGGCATAAATATAAAAACATAAAAAACGCGCCTGGCGCGCGGAGCCTGGCGCGCGGAGCGCGCCAGGCGCGGCGCCGGAGGCGCCGCCTGGGGGCCCCAGCGCCGAGCCGAGAAATCCGCGCGGAGCTCCGAGTGTTTATGCTTATGCCACTTTTTGTCCCCCTGAGAGAGCAGGATGAGACGGGGGAGGAGACGAGAGGGGAGGACTGGAGGGGGGACAGGGGCACACAAACAAATAGGCACAGATCGCAGGATTCCCCAGAGTGTTCGTTGTGTTCTTGAGCTTCGTCTTCCCCCCCACTTCTATTTGTTCCCATCTGTTCCTGGAGGTCGAAGAGTATTTGTGTCTGTGTGACTCTTCCCCTCCTGAGAAGAGGGCAGAGGACAAGGAGGAGGAGGAGGAGGGAGAGGCCGGGAGACAAGCGAAGTGCGCTCGGGCGCCATGCTTGACATCCCACCTTCTTTCCCGCTCCCTGGAATTACCGAGCATCCGCCGACCGGGATGTCCCAGAGGACCTTGGTCACCAAAGTGGCCCCATCGTGCGATGCGCGTGCAAGCATACGTGGGGGGGGGTGCACGTCTGAGGGGAGGGGGGGGCAGCCGAGGAGAAGGTGGAGCATGTGGAAGAGGGGGACGACGAGGAAGGAGAGGCGGGAAGAGGAGGACGAGTAGGATCGGAAGCTGCAGAAACAGCAGTAGAATCAGGTCGGGCATGTCCCCATACAGGCGGAGTTTGGAGCACAAATTTGAACAATAGTTCAAGAATGTTCAAAAGTGGTAAAACAAAAGTCCCCGGACTACTTTTTGACTACTTTGGAAGATTCCTCCTGTAGAGGGACACGCCCGACTTCATAGTAGCAGGAGGAGACTGGGGGACGGCGGACTGGGAACGAGGGCGGCGGCGGAGGAATCCTGCATGAGGAAACCTGGCCAACGCCTGGGCGACTCCGCCGCTCTGGACGACGGCGGCCAACGCTTCACCGAGAGCACCCCTCCTACAGTCATCGGCCTGACCTAAGGAACGATCCATAAGGAACGACGCCCTTATATTTCCATAAGGAATGACGCATAAGGAACGAGAAATAATACTTTGCGCATAAGGAACGATAAATGACGCATGCAAGCCTAAGGAACGACCGAGCCTCTTTTGAAAAGTAAGTGTTCCGTATTCGAGCCGCTGATTGGTTTCGGCTTCGTGCGTCTATTTTTCGGGG